CAATGAACCACAACATTTTCTACCTTTTTCTTTCTACTTAGGTTTGTGTTGTCCAAGACAATGAACCATAACATTTTCTACCTTCTTCTTTCTATTTAGGTTTGAGTTGTCCAATACAATGAACCACAACATTTTCTACCATTTTTTTCTGCTTAGGTTCGAGTTGTCCAAGGCAGTGAACCACAACATTTTCTACGAATCTTCAAAGGGAAGATGGTAGTCTTCATGGGTGGCCATGCCAGTGGTTTCCGGAATATTCATGACCATGACACTTATGATGTAGATGGTACAAGAATGTTCCAAATCAAAGGAACAAGTGATGTAGATACACGTGCCCAACAGGTGAGAATAGATAATTGATGGGCATCCATCAGGGTAGTCATAAGTTATTTTTTCATATTTTAATGCTATGAAAGGGGTAATCTAACTGAATTTAAGTACTTTTAAAATTTTGTTGTGAAGAAGGCTACATCAATGTACTGTAATATTTTTCAGTTTTTATTTTCTGGAAAAGACAAAGTATTAGTATGTTTTAAAGTTATAAAAGAAATTTCATCTGTACATAGACTTTGCGAATGCTTTTAAGATTCAAAAAACCAAAGTTTAATGACTTTTTTATCTCTGTAGGTTTCAGAAAAAGCTGCTTCACTGAACTCTGATGATGTTTTTGTTGTGGAAACTCCTTCTGTTACATATGTGTGGATTGGGAAGGTTTGTAATTTAGTATACGTTCACACGTCACATTTTGCAATAGAGTAAAAGTTCGGCTTATTTTGCTGTTTTTCAAAATACTGTGACGTAGAAGTTTAAGTACTACCCAGAATTTTCAGAGTTTGCATTTCTAGCTGAACATTGTTTCGTTGAGTGTTGAGCTGCCAGTCCTGCAGTTTATAAAGGAATGTGTACATACATTTACTACAATGCTGTTTCACATATAACTAAAGCAATCTTAAACTTATTTTTTCCACAAAGTCATGATAAGGTTTTTATTTTCAGGAATCAAGTGAAGATGAACTCAATATGGCCCGAAATGTTGCTGAATTAGTCTCTCCAGGAAGGTAATATATTAACATACAGCTTGATACAACTGTTCAGATATGACAGAATCTGTATTCCCTACATGTTAGGGCTCAGGTTTAAATCTTAATAATTCATCTTTTTTATTTATTACTTTAGTAAAGAAGGTAGGAAGTTGGAAATTGTGCATATGTTTGTTTTCTCTTTCAAACTTTGGAATTATTTCATATATTGTGGGCTGAAATACGTGTATAATTTATTTAGTACATATTTACAGACCAAGAACTAACAAGCAAAAAAAGAAAAAATTGAAAAAGGCTATTTGTCCACAGGCCCAGCCTTCACATGAAAATATACATAGGAAATGAGAAGCACGATAATATATTAACACCCATTTCATGACTGTCATAATTTAAAGTTGTGCAGTTTATACCATATATCTGTCTGTATCATTCTTATTATTTACATCTTTTAAACAACCAACTAGAATATGATGTTATTCTTTTATGATAATTTTGTATAATTGTTTTGGTCACTTGAAGAGAACTCGTGGAAATAGCTGAAGAAGAAGAACCAGATGAATTCTGGAATAGTATTGGTGGAAAAGATGAATACCAGAAGTCAAGAGGTTTGCCAGCTAAACCACTGCTTGAGCCACGTCTGTTCAAATGTTCTGAAGTTCGTGGAAAGTTTCGTGTGAAAGAAATGTGCAACTTCACTCAAGAGGTAATTTGTTGTACAATATATATAATGTAATTTCATGCAAGAATGGCTGACACATGCACGTAGTTATGATATGAAGCTAACTGTCAAAATTTGCACTTTGAATTCCTTCTGTGTGGCTATTTCTACAATCTTAGTTATATTACAGAACTGTTTGTTGAGAACCTTAACTTGTCAGCTGTTAAATCATATCCAAATGAGTAATCTAACCTAATATTTCCTGTGATTTGTTTTAACACTTAAACAGGACCTAACCTTGTTTGTCAGCTGTTAAATCAAAACCAATGAGTAATTTAACCTAATATTTTTTGTGATTTGTTTTAACACTTATACAGGACCTAATCTTGTTTGTTAGCTGTTAAATCAAAACCAATGAGTAATCCAACCTACTCTTTCCTGTAATTTGTTTTAACCTTAAAACAGGACCTCTCTGCATATGTCAGCTGTTAAATCAAACTTAATGAGTAATATAACCTGATATTTCCTGTAATTTGTTTTAACACTTAAACAGGATCTAACCTTGTTTGTCAGCTGTTAAGTCAAACTTAATGAGTAATCTAACCTGATATTTCCTGTAATTTGTTTTAACACTCAAACAGGACCTATCTGTGGATGATGTGATGGTTCTGGATGCTGGTGAGGAAGTTTATGTTTGGATTGGAAATGGAGCAAGTGAAGAAGAAAAGACAAATTCATTGAAACTTGCTGAGGTAAGCCTAGTTCTTATTACCTGGAGTTTCCACTGGTGACTAATCAGTAAAATGTATCAAAATGCAGCCATTGTGAAAGATATAAAACTTTGTTAAAAGTTTCTCAAACATTATTGCGAACTTGTGGCACTGTAATTAAAGAGCACGGTTTTATGGAAGTTCGCAGAATTAATGAAAAATTTAAGTTACAAAATTAATCAGCAAAGCTATGACTTAGTTACAAGTTATAAGGCCAGCAAAAAAATATTTTATTGTCTCTAAGAGAAAGTACAATTTCATTCCAATTGTATAGTTTGATATAATAAATGTGTTCTTGTAATTTTTTTTTTGTGGAATTTAATCTTTAACCCTATGAACATGGGTCGGGGTCAAATTACGCAAGCTATGACCTTTTACAAAGTGCCGGTCGAAATGGTACTATATATATGATGTCAGTTATTAACTATTCATTTCATCCTACATTACTGAATTAAAAACAATTCCTGGTAGAGAAGAGTAAATACCAGATACAATATACGGTGATAGTGAGAAAAAAACTGTAGATGTGCAATTCAGAGGTTATACAAATACAATATCCAAACTTTTTACGTTGGACAGAAGTATTTCTATCCTACATTCGAACATCATCTTGCACTCTGACTTGTCAGATTCCGAGTAAGATTAACGTCGTCAATTCACAAACATATCTTGGGTACTAATAATGCTTGGAGACGGGTTGAATGGGTAATGAAGAAAAACTTTAATATAAGTTTAACATAACAGCAAATGTACAACGTTTCGACAAGGTACCTGATGATGTCGAAACCTTGTACATTTGCTGTTATGTTAAACTTAAAGTTTTTCTTCATTACCCATTCAAGCTGTCTCAAAGTGGGTTCCTCGTCATCGAATATCTTGAGTACATATACCTTTGTAACTCATCTGATTTTTGTGTACAACAGACTTGTTCATGTTACTAAAACTTTAACACATTTCATGTAAATACATGTAGTAAATCAAACTTATAGTCAATATTCCTTCTCCAATATGGGGTCAGTCCAGTGGACCATGGCCGTAGACATTCTATTAATTTGTATGTAGATTTATAAAGTATTTTAGCCTTGTGCTTGTGTGTATATACATTATATAGATGATATTTGTTTTTCTGTAGGACTACATCCGCTGTGACCCAACTGACCGCACCTTGGACAACACTGTAATTATTACTGTCAAGCAAGGAGAAGAACCAGCAGGCTTCAAGCTGATCTTTGATGAGTGGGATCCAGCTTTTTTTGAGGTTAGGTTATGTGACTAGGTCTAAACACGAGTTATTAATTATCATATTGGCCCAATTAAAAGGCAATGTTTTTGATTAATAATTAGGCTCTAAATTTCATAGTTTCCTTATAATCGTGGCTGACCATAGGCCCCCTTCCCTAGCCTGTTGCATTCTTGAATGCCCAGATAGCATCTATCTATGCATGTGTGCCAGAGGTTCACTCAAGATCATCGTAAATTCTTGCAACTAATCCATCTATAGTCTGTTCAATATAGTATTGATTTTGCAGACCTAAAAAAGCACGTTATGATACTCAATTGTTTTATTTCTCCTGGTTTCTGAAAATGGGGGGGGGGGGTCACCTTATATTCTAGATCACCCTATAATTGAGCCAATATGGTATCAATGTATTTATCACCGTATTATTTATCAATGTAGACACCTCTTATTGGTCAGTGTACCAATATTTGTACATATTTATAATTGATACAAGTTGATTATCTGAGCTTTGTATTATAAATTTGTGGTTTGGAACCAAACCCTTCTTTAATAACCCTTTTAGAACATCATAGTCTGGAAATCACTCTTTATGAGTATTATAATGTTAACCTGGTTTTATCATCATATCTACTGTTATTTTTGTTGTAAGTAAATATTGTGTGACTTAGTTCCTACTAACGAACTGATCTATTTCTTATTAACATATCACTAGCAGTCTTGTTTTAGTTTTCCTTAGATGGTTGGAGATTATTTGTCTTAGAATGTTAAGTTTTTTTCAGCGGCTGTCACCAAAGCATAAAGATTCACTAGGTTAAGATTATTGATTAATATGGACTGTGAGAATTGAAAATATTTGCAGCTGCATTTTTAAGCTAACTTGATTTTGTTGCATGAATGAAAGCTAGTGTATTCTTGATGAAAAGTTTTTGTATTTCTTAGCTTATGTGAAGAATTCTGCTTGCTTTGTAGAAGATCTTAATTATGAAGATTTTTAGGTTTTAATAGAATATAATTTTATTTCCTAAGCTGAAAATGAACTAGAACTAAAGACAGTTTTACAAACATGTTTTGTGTCTTGTTAATGAATCCAATAACACATCTGCACCTAAATTCTTCTAACATTTCTAGGGTAACTGAAGTAACAGAAAGTACTGGATTTCCTGGTCTTATTCTAGGTATGCATGCATCCTTACTGTTTGGCCTTTATTCCCTGGTATGTGTTTTTGTCCTGTCTTTCTACAACACTCATACCACTCAGACATAAAATTAAGTTTAGTAGTAGCTCTTACTTTAAATGGACTTTGATTTCCTGTGTTTCCCGCTTGTTTTCAATTTATGTATTTATTTTTTTACTAAATATAACTTTCCCTTTACTCACTCTATTTCATATTACAGACTGTTGTTGAAAGTGATTAATATGTTATTTCCATGTATGACTTCTTTAACTCATTTCTGTTTTGATTTTGTTAATATAAATGGGAAATACACTGTTGTTACAGATGAGTCAGTAACAGTAACAAAAACATTGATTTGACTCATTTTCCCATCCACTTTGAAGTGGAAAATATTAAATATATCATATAGTTGTAAATATGGTATTTGGTATAAAAAGTATCTTGGAGTGTCAACAAGAGTAATTTGTATATTGTATTTCCACATACATTGTCAGTATCTAGTGTTCAAGTGTGTTATTACATAAATACTACATATCACAGAGTCTCCACAAAAATACTTTGTATCTCAAGCATAGACACACCTTGGTACTTAAAACATTCAGAGCTCAGGCCTATAGGTGCAGGAGTAATGTTTGGAATTTTAGTATGATATGAATCATGGTTTTCTATTCTGATTTTTAAAGACATCAACTGGGGATTCAGGGCATTGTCAAATAGAATTGGGGCATGGGCCCTGTGTGCCAATGCCTAGGAATGCTGGTGAGACCGTTGTCCATTAAAATTCTTTATATTCCAAGTGAGGCTGGTGTCCATTAAAATTCTTTATATTCCAAGTGAGGCTGGTGTCCATTAAAATACTTCATATTCCAGTTAAGGCTGATGTCCATTAAAATACTTTATATCCCAGTTAAGGCTGGTATCCATTAAAATACTTTATATCCTAGGTGAGGCTGGTGTCCATTAAAATACTTTATATCCCAGGTGAGGCTGGTAACCATTAAAAATACTTTATATCCCAGTTAAGGCTGGTGTCCATTAAAATACTTTATATCCCAAGTGAGGTTGGTATCCATTAAAACAGCTTTGTATCCCAGGTGAGGCTGGTGTCCATTAAAATACTTTATATCCCAGGTGAGGCTGGTGTCCATTAAAATACTTT